AGCAGGGCCGGCGGGAGTGCGGCTCGAGCCGCGGCAAGGCACACGGCTGCCTGCCCCACATGCTGGCCGTGCAGGGGCACAGGCCTCGCCCAGGCTGGCTCTGAGGGCTTTGCAGCTGTCCTTACCAGGCCCTCGGTGATCTTCCATGTCTGCACTGGCTCAGCCAGGTGCCTGAGCTGCTCCCACTTCAGGAACTTGGCAGCGGCAAGCAGGGCTTCCTGCAGAGACCAGCAGCTGCCACCACACAACACGCGCTAGCCTCCTCCTCTTGGCAAGCCTCGGGGCCTTTCCTGGCCCACGACGGGAAGATGGAGCAGCTGGCAACTGCCTCTGCCATGGGCTTCCATGCCCCCACGCAGAGCCATGGGCTGACCACCACCTCAAGGTTATCGTGCTGCAGGTGGAGGCATGGCACCCGAGAAGTCCAAGGCGCTGCTGGGCGTGGTGCAAACAGCAAGGGCGGCTCTGCACCCTCAGCACCTTGCGCCTCAAGCTCACCCACCTTCAAAGGCTCCCACTGCCAGCAGCCCTTGCGCCTCATGCTCACGCCGCTCAAAGGGCGTCAGCATTGCCCTCCTCCAAGGACCTGCCACGTTACACAGCCATACCTGGGCCACACTGGGGAGCTCATCGTGCACTTGGAGGAGCAGAGGCAGCAGGCTCCTGTGCACTTGCTGCTTCAGCTCCTGGCTTTTGGAGCCCACTGCAGTCTCCATCACATCTTGCAAGAGGCGGATGCAGAGCTCTCGCACGCAGCCAGGCTCCTGGGGGGAAGCAAGAGGAGGCACCTCAGCACTGCCTGCTCCAAGCCCACAGTCAGCACAGGGATGAAGGTTTCTGACCCTCCCTGCACACCCATGAGCTGTGGGCCACCTCTGCACACACTGCAAAAGGGCCCCCGGCCCAGGCAGGGCAATGCAGCGCACTTCTGTACCATGCTGCGGGCAGGGAGAGCGGAGCTGCCGGAGAAGTCTGCGCCTGGAAGGGCTCCTCTCGCCTTGGCCCCACTGCCCC